ACCTCAAACTATTGAAGTTAAGCTAAGTTATCGACTTACAAGCTTAGAATGAAGCAAGTGGTGCTACATCAGTTGTAAGGTCGTATGCTTTGTTTAAAGACCTTTAAGATAAGGCTGGAATAAATAAATGGTTATTGTGTTCCATAATCAGCAAATGATCCGTTCACACACGGAAAGACTCACATTCAAAGAAAAGGAGCAATAGTTGCGAATTTATTTGAATGGCATGGTTATCCAAGCGTTGAGTAAACAATGCTTGATTATAAACAACCATTTCCCTAATCAGTAATTTCACTAAGTTCAAGACATGGGCATGATTTGCGTTCCGAACATCTTTAGCAATGTCACATCGACAAGAACGTACTCAAGGCTCTATTAGATAGGATCTTTATACTTGCTTTATTCGAAATCGTTCTAAGACAAGCAAGTCTTACTTGTTGAAACAGACAAAGCAAAGAGCTATTGTTCTTTGTATAGACAATTGACTCCGAAGGCTAAAGAGGATTCAATTACTTCAACGTTTCACAAAGAATTTGAAAGGATATGGCTATATTCATCAAATGTGAACAAATTTGACATAAGTAGCTCAAGAGTTCAGTGAAGTACAAAATCGACTTGGCAGATATCAAAATGAATAAATTAGATCGAGCGATGTTTGCTTCAGCCAAGCGTGACCATCAAAAAGTTATGAAATTGAAATTTTCATAAATAAATTCACAAAGAACATAGTGTGTCTTCACGGAGACCTCGATGCCATTTAAAAATGACTCGAACAATGATGGATCACATCCCTTCCTATAAAGTTCTTAAGATTTGCACGAAGGACTAATGTTACACTAAATAAAATGTCGAAGCTAATAAAAGGACGCCATATTCATTTATGGATAGAATTATCTTCTAAATGTCTTTTCAAGTATATGTCTAAAACTCTTAGCCATAGTGGGAGTTCACTGGCTCAGTGGGAGCTAAGTGACACAGTGGGAGCTCACTGGCATAGAAAGAGCTAGGTGGTTGAGTGGGAGCTTAATGGCTCATTAAAGGCTAAGATAGCTTAAGTGGGAGCTAACTATTTGTTTTACAACGAACTTTTACCCAAAGACAATATACATGTCTCTTTGTAAACATTCAAGTGAGACCACGGGCATTACCTCCACAACCTAATTGAGAACATAGTGTTTGGTTTTGTAAGTGGTGTCTTTCTGGAAAGTAACACATTTCTAAAACGACAAGTGGGAGGAAAATGAACTCGATGACAACCGAGCTTAGAAACAAACTAAAACTGAGAATGTCGGAAGACCTTAAAAGGACTTCGTGAGAATGCATGATCAAGAATACTCAAAAGGATTATACAAGTGCCTTAAAAGAGAATTCATTACTCATAAAACATCAGAAATGTTGGATTAAGATCAACATAATAAAAGGGCTTTGGAAGCGCCTTGAAACACAGTGTTTGATGCAATTGCCCCGTATAAGTATTGAATAAACCAAAGGCTTGGATTGAATCCTATAAATTTCTATTAAGTTAGAAATGAACCTAAAACTTACAAGCATACTATTTACTATTAGATAGTAAAGGAATAATGCTTTGTAAGATAGCTACGAAAAATCCAAATTCCGAATAATGGTTAGAGGCCAAGAAAATCCGAAACAAACTCCATGTTTATAAATCATGTTTGAAACTTGATTAATTTGCATAAAAGGTGAAAGACCCATCGATAGCAAATAATTTTTCAAGGAGAAAACTAACAAATGTGGAAATGTATATGCATACATAGCTAGATTGGACCTAAAGGATACACTAAAATTCACGGAGTTGATTTTAATAAAAAAAAACCTATTCACCAATCAGAATACTAAAGTCTTTTTGTGATTGTTTTAGCAAAATTTCTCATATGAAATATGGCAAAAACAAAACCAATATCACCTTCCTAAAAAAGGATTTTGGAAGTGACTATGAAAATAGTCTAAGGGTTTTGGAAATCTAAATAAGAGCAAGCTCAAGGAATCCGTCATGGGATTAATGGAAACATTGCATATAGGAATTGGAACATGTTTTCTCATGATATTAATAAGAGGATTGACTTATGGAGAAACATAGAAATTCTTATGAATAAGAAGTTACGTAGGAGCAAAAGTAAATTATATAAAGGTCCAACGAAAAGTTTATGAACTTTATTGTGAAATAACTATCAAATGCTAAATGCTTAGATTTGAAAATATTTTCCACAATGGACCAAGCATAAGACGATACTTAGTACATATTGGTATTAAGATCTATTTTATAGACTTAATAAAATGTTTGAACGTGTAAAAGATTTTACCGTGTTAAACATGAATTGAAGAACTTTGAAAGACTTTTGACCCGTATGTATAAAACTAAGTAAATGTTTGAACTAAGTATGAGCTAGGCTAAATAATAAGTCAAACAAGAAAGACTCTAGTAGAGACTTTTAACCATATCACATAGAAAACAGTTTAGCAAGACTCAATGAAACTGAATGAGCTAAAATGTCACATGGATTGAATAAGATTGAGAATTACTCGGCAATTTAATCCATCATGTACGCTGTGATATGGAATCGTCACTCGACTTACTTGCTTAGAGCATGTGAAGTACGTATGTAATACCAGTCAACATTAATCTAAGTGATAGATCATTACATTATAGTCAAGAACATCCAAAGCACTTGAATGAGCTAGAGGATGAGTTCTTGACGCATGGAAACAAATATACTTGAATTTTGATGTTGCAACCACAAACCTTAACAAGGATCAGATCCTTAACAAGGAAACCATTTGTAAGCACAAGGCAAGAAGAGTCTTGGCTTGAGAATGGTAACATGGATATGCATCCATGAATAATGTGCGGAAATTTAAGGTAAATTTCCATGATCACAAGTGATTAGGGTATCCCAAATCATTGTGAGTCGTTTGTAGTGAATTCTATGCAAGGCATCATTGGGGAGTCTACTAAAGTATATGTTGAGAATATTGTTGCATTAAAGGCAATAATAAGGAAGATGTTAAATGGAAAGCTCGTTGTTGAACGTTGATGATTGTAGGTTGTCAAGCTAAAGCTTACAAATCATGAAAATGAGTGGGAGCCTTCACTTGGAAAATGAATCCTAAATCACATGTAATCCATTAACACTCTCAAAATTTTATCATCTTATTATGGGAATGATGGATAATGAAGATGCTAAGATTCGCAAAGTAATTATAACTAAACCTATGCAATAAGTGAACGACAACATTCATAATTGCATGAAAGAAATCAAGCATATTAAATATGGGTATGATATCTATGAATGTTCTATAAAGAGTAGTACTCTTAAAACATTTGGGAAAACCATTTATCATAAGGTGAAACATTGTGAAGTTTCATAGTGGAATAAAATTTTTCTGAATATTCCACAAAACTATTTAATTATGGTTTAGAATTAAATAATGAGTCCATTCGATTTTAAAGAATATTCAAAATAGGGTATCAAGACAATGTCTTGGATAAAGAAACACCTATTAAGTGAACATTGAATATTTTAATCGAAAATTATCCCTGATCAAGGTCATTTATTTTGTGAACGGTTAATAACCGTTAGAGATTACTGTGTATTATTATTTATAGCACCGTTTCTTGTGCTATGAGGACATAAATCATTTGTAATGGTATTGGTTTAGAACCACACTAGATCGACCTACGATAATAATTTTAGAGATTTGAAATCATCATAAGTATATTTATCATTATTGTTATCGAAACTCTTTTCCTTGACCATGAGTATTGTGAGGTCTCTTGTTTGAATACTAGTCCGTTTTTGATGTCGGTCAAACGTCTGCCGTAATTAAGGATTATAACAACGGCTATCAGGCGGCTAGGTCCTCTTAGTAAGAGAAGCTACATTATAAGACTGGGAATGTCCTCCTACTATTAATAGTCAATATGTATTGTTGTTTATAAGGCCTCTTGAAGAGCGAGCCTGTGAAAATGCATGTTCGCGCTCAGATGGATTTTAGAAATCATCTGCTTATTAACAGTCAAACATGGATTTCATAAACAAAGCTGGACGTAATAGGGATGACGAATAATCTTACCCTATAGTTCATGAAGAGACATGAAGGGACATAGGAAAGGGGCTATACACTGAAAGCTTTCCGGACAAGTGGGAGATTGAAAGAAATGGTGTCCTCGAACAAGTGTATTATTCTGATAGTGGGTTCAGATTTATTAGAAAGCTAATATATTCAGTAAGGTCAAGAGATCGGAATGCCTAGGTGGAGGCCGCTTCCGATCAGTAATATTAGTGCATACTTAACATTACAGCTTAATCTTGACTGCAGCCTTCGGGTCACACCCTTAGTAGAAAACGAACCGACTCGACGAATTTATTCGGAAGAAATTAATTCATCGCCCGAGTATTAAATATTTAGACGTCGGACATTCGAGCTTGGAGCGTCCAAACCGAGCGTCGGAGAATCTCAAATGTCGAGCCAAAATTGACTACTAGAATTTCCGTGTTTTAGGGACGCTTTTTAGGCCTATTTTCGACGCCAAAAAGCGTCGAATTTTTTTTTCTCGACGCTTCAAAAAAGCATCGAAAAAAGATGAGTCGAGAAATTTGTTAGAAATTTAAAAGTGTCGCAATTATCGACGCTTTTTACTATCCTGTAATGTATACAAAGCGTCGCAATTCTCACAGTTTGCGCACTTTCTCAAATTTGGCGGCGCTTTTACTTGTCTATAATCTTACAATTGGCGATGCTTTTTTATGTCCAGAGTTTCATACCTTTAATGTCTTTTATTTTAGTGACGTTTTTTTCTATCTATATTTTCAAAGTTGATGACACATTTTCTTGTCCTTTTTCCTTTAAAATATCTTTACAATAACTTTACCCAAAAATATATAAAATTTCAATCACTGAACCTATTACTAACTAGTATACTTGTATTAACTAATAAATTAGATGTACAACAATATTATGTGAAAAAAGTTTTTATTGCATATAAATATTTTAGTACACATAAAATATCTCATAGTAATTAGTTTTCTATTACAATCGATATAATTACAAGTAATAGTTCATTCGTGACTAATTGTATCGGCTGAAATTTTGAATCATATATAATTAAAATCTTTAAATAGCTTTAAAATATCTTTCTTCCATCCTTGTAATCTTGTGTCGTAGTTGTCAGCCTTTTTATACCATTTCTCGGTATTAATACAAGCAATGGATGCCACAAAATCTCTTAACCCTGCACCAGAGTTCAACAATTGCAACAAGATATCAGCAAAAGAATCTAATTACAATATTAGACAAAAACTAATAACACTAGGGAGCCATATACAAAAAAAAAAATCATTTAATCAAACCAATATCACAACCAACTTCCAAAGCTAATTACAGAGTTGATAGCTTACCAAAAGTATTAGGTTATTCATACATCGAAGAAAACATATCATTTGCTAATATTATCAAATTCTTAAGTTTTGACTTCTGCAATAAATTTTAATTACATGGTGATATGCAGAGCATTAATAGAAAAAGAAAGGATGGTGAAGTACCTTTATTATTCTTGGTTATTCCCGTTACATGTCTAGTCTTTAATTTGAGTGCAACCTGCAAGATAGAAGAGAAGTACACTGATAAGGAAAATGACTAACAAGTGGTAGAATATGTTAAGGAGATTGACTAACAAGTGACTACTACAAGAATTTTAACGTGTCTTTGCCTTCAGAGTTGCTGCCCCTCTTAAACCAGAATGTAAATCAGTGTTTAAAAACAACTATTATGTTCTAAAATTTATGTAGCATATGCATTAAACATGTTGTACATAGTTAAATAAGGTTTCATAAAATTTTAATTAACTACCCGACAGCGAATCTCATGAGTATGACCTTATACTGGGATATATATTTCAACAGGAGATTGTTTTTACACCAAGATGACTCTACAGCCTCAAAATATGACATAGACTGGAGTCATTACCTGCATAGTTAACAAATTTTCACGCAAGCTCTAGCATATAATACCAAACTTGTATATCCCATCTAAGTTAAAATATCTCACAAACATCACTAACATTAGAATCTATAGGTATCCAGGTCCTAATTTTGAGGGTTAAGAAATCAGCAACAACCCTTAAATTAAAAAAAAAAAAAATATGGCATCTTAATGTAAGGAGAGGAGCAATAGCCAGGTTATTTTATCTTTTAAGAAAAATTAAAGATACAAGAAACAAATAGTCCAATAGGGAAAATTACCAGGTAATTTTATCTTTCAAGAAAAATTAAAGATACAAGAAACAAAATGAGCCAAGTCCCACACAAAATTATTCGACATACACTTCAAGCAAAGTATCTTACAATTTGGTTTAAAAGGGAAAATCTCAAAAATGAAGATGGAATATCTCCTGTAATAATTAAGTTACAAAGGATTTGACTAATAAGCTAAACCCAGAACAATTATGTGACAACCAAAATGATAAATTTAGAGTTTTGATCCATTTGTCAGCTTAGCTGTACACATTACAGTCATTCGGATTGCTCAAAATGAGTGCAAAAACTAAATGTAGCAAGTAGGCTGAAACAAGATAGCTACAAACCATAGACCAAGCAGGTAGCATTAGGTGTTTCAAAGCCCTTAATAATGGCCATATCCTCAAGCTTTATTTGGTGAAAAGTTCTCAACCACAATGATAACATTACAATCAGAGCTCTAAAACATAAATACTCAAATACCGGAGGTAAAATTAGAGCCTTGCCTTATGATTCCGTTATTTATAAGGGATCGGACAGTGACATGCACATGCCTTAATCGAGATTAGAAACACGTGTGATAAATTCGATGAATAATTACAAAGTATTGAAAGCAATTAATACCGGAAAATAATATGTACCTTGTTTAGGTCCCTCTTCTTCACCTGTCACAAAAAAGTTCCTCTTCTTTGACATTCTTTCATCTTAGCTCTACCTTAATATTCAATACAAGTTGTTTCATCTTACTTGATTTTCTCTTCTATCTTAGAAACTTATGCCACAACATGCACAAACACATAGATTTCTAGACAAGATCAACTATTCATAAACCACAATTTTATGTGCAAGGAATTTTAAGAAAAAAGAAGTAGATAGGAGGCATGCAGCTCACATATTCAATAAAATGTGTTGGGGGCAGTCAGTTATATAATGTTTTAAAGCAACAATACTACATGTGACATGTTGAAACTATTGTTGTACCTCACCTGGTGTATCCATTAGAGTCCAAATCTCCAGCAACATGTTAACAAGATCTTCAAGCTGCACAAGATAATTATATTAAGCACACAAACTTAGCTGCACAAGATTAATTATATTATAAGAAATTCACTTTGAAGAAAGTTATCTAAAAGACTACATTTCTACTTCGTATGACTCCTCCAGCTTAAGCTCTCACAAACTCTTGCAGTTTCCTTGAAGGCTCAATCCAAGGGAAATACATTTTTATTATGTAGTTATCTAGAGAATTGAATCAATTAAAGAGTAAATAAAACATCTAATTATAAAAAAATTAAGCAATGATTTGATTTGGACAGAAAGATCATATTTAAAATAAGTCAAACTCAAAACATCAGAGTTGTCAAAATCATCTACTCTCTATGAGCAAAAGTATTAAGGAAACAAGCATGAAAAAATTAATAAAAAATCACATGCATCACGCGTACACGTGTTTGAGCTCTCCCCTGCAATATTATTATCAGATGCGGAGACTCAACAAGCATATAATGTGGCCCATACAAGGATTAACAATGCATAAAAAAAAAAAAAAAAAAAAAAAAAAAAAAAAAAAAAAAAAAAAAAAAAAAAAACACACACACACATAAAACAAAACAAAACTTTCCCTTCAAATACTTTAGCAAGATTGACTTTCAATGAGGTTAATCATATATAGTGGGTTATGATGTCAATAGATAATATATTAAAAACAAACTAATTAGTTGAACTATGATAATGTTTCTAATGATACTTTGTCCGTGGCACATGTGCATCTTATTTGATGAGCTACAAGGAAACTAATGAAACATGAGCTTCAACTTAAACATAAAGATAAAAAGGTATTAAAGCTCAAGTGTTCCAGACACTTTCAACTACACAGCCAAATCAATTTATTCACCACCTTGCCAAACACAAGAATGCTAACACGTCTTTTATGAGAGTATTTAGATATTTTGCTGGTATCTTAACTTATATGGATGTGAAATGATAAGTCAATGCAAACTTATAAACCTTGAAAGCTCAACATTTTGGTCTTATTTTTTCCTGTAACATCAAATGATTGATTTCCAATGAAAAAAAAACATAAATCTTAGATATAAGCTAAAATAGTGAAATATACGCAACTTTTTTTTTTTCCTGATATCTAAAACAAATTAATCACCACTATCAATCTATCATACTCCATAAGTTCTATTGTATTCTGAATATCTCTAACCAATTATGTAAAATGATATTGTATTTAAATTCCACATAATTAGTTAAATCCCATATGGTTGAAACCCGATCTACGCAAATTTTGAGTTCATACCGTAACACCTAGCCGAGAAAATGAAAAGGGATTATCTGAGTAATAAGACTAAAAGAGTGAAATTCTGCAACAATTGAAAATCTCAATCAGACCAAAACCAAAAATAATTGTAGCCTAAAATTCTCACTAAGTCCCCTGTACCCAACACGCCACACAAATTAAACCCTAGATTTAAATACAATGGCTTTCTACAACTACTTAAAAACTAAAAATTCCATGTAATTTCACAACAACTCAATAAAATTAAGTGTATCCGAATGACGAAATTGAGAAGGAGCGGAAGAAAATTAACACGACTTCGACCCTAATTCATTAAATTTCAAGCGGTTTCAAAAGATAGCTGAGATTGTATAAGAACAAAGGACAGTGATGAACAATTAGGCTTAGTGTATGAAGTTTTCAGATCTAATAGCCCAAGAAAGAGGAGAAAGAAAGAGATAGTGGGTTTCTTTTGTGCGAGTGGATAGCTGGGTGGTTTATGATTTTTTATACACTGCTTTGTTTGAAGTTGTGGGCTGCCTTTGAGTCACGTGCAACTCATACATAATTTTTGACGCTTTTTCAAGTCGAGAAACTTATGCGACATAAAAAAGCGTAAAAAAAAGCGGGAATTTATTTTTACACTAACGCCTCATACACAGCGTCGAGCCAATAGCGTCTAACAAGTAAGGGATTTGTAGTAGTGATTTAGGATTTGGCAAGACGGGAAAATGCTTCAAGTAACAAGTAAAATCCTAGCCACGCGAAAGGCTAGGAAAGCGCGCCCAATAGGAGCATGCCACGTGGCATCACACATGGCTAAACGCCATGTGGCAGCACACGTGGCAGCCACATTGGCATCCACCAAGTGGCAGCGCGCCATGGTGGCAGCGCGCCACTGTGACGACACATGTGGCATGGGCCGTGGACCTGGGGCGATGGGTCATAGACACGGGCCAAAATAAAATGTCCCAATCGAACCCAACTAGGGGCTCAAGGTTGGGTGACACATGGTTAGTTAAGATTGCATATGAAATGCCTTGGGGACCAAGTGAAAAAGTGGTCCACTCCTAACCATGTGACACTTGTTACTTGTTCCTTGGTTTATTTAACTAAGGGTTAAATTCATCAATCTTTTCATGTGGGATCTGTTTTTGAAAAGTCCTACATTGAAAGATGAGTGGAATTCAGAAGCTATCCTTCATTATCAATAGCCAAAGCATTTCATGAGAATTCCTTGCTTGAGTAGGAGTTCAATAGAGCATTGCATTAGCAAAAACTCTTGAACTCATAAAATACTCGGGTTTTGGTCGGACCTCGCTAACCTCGAGGTAACGGACCTAAAAGTCGCTATAAGTTTTTGCGGGTGGATTTCCGTAGAAGGCTTGCATATTTTCGGAGCTCGAGCTTTCAAGTAATAGCCTGTCTTTGAGGGCGAAGTAGGCTTCAAAGGTAAATTCCGATTTGACCCTTTTATGATTATTTGTTATGCTTTATGTTTTAATTAATTGCGAGTGGTTCCTTGGGTTGGGGTTGTTTCCACGGTGAGTCGTCCTACTTGACCTATTAAGTTCTCTAAAGTGCCTATTAATAATACGCTATGACCCCTGATGTGCCTTGCTGGAGCTGAGAATGCTCCTTTCCATCCTTTAATGAACGTTAGGGCTAATGAGTTCTTGTTTGTGGACAAACCTCAACATGGCGGCACTTTTGGATACCGCCTTACTCAATGGGTTCATCTCCCTGCTGATTCTACTAGTAGCTCAATTAGTCTCCCTGTGGCGACTTCGTGCCATGATCTGCAGAAGGTCAACCTTTGTTCTTAACCTTTTCCTTTTCTTACTTATTCTCTTATTTGTGTTTTATATTATTTTTCATGCTTTTTAGTTTTTACCTTAGTTATTTTCGTCTTCTTGTTGTTTGCAGCTCGTCAAGTATATTGGTGACTTATCCAATGCCTTTCTTACGGTGGAGAAGGAGTATCAGAATCATGGTTTGGCCTTTACTTAATAGGATAAGGAGATTCAGCAGGCTTATTCTTAGAGGGATGCATTGGCTGGTGAAGTGACTCCGCTGAGAGAGAAGGTGGATGCCCTGCAGCTCCGGATGGGAGAATTTAAACTATCCAAGACCAAGCTGGCGGAGTGCGAGGAGCATTTGGGGACATCCAAGGCCAGAGTGCAAACGTTGGGGGCGGAGATGGCTGCTCTGCGAGCTGGGCATGTGATTGAGCTTGAGGCTACTAGGAGGGAGTACTTAGATCATTTTTGTTTTCCCTTGCTTTTGCCAAGCTGCTTGTTGATCGCCACGATGGAGCTAGGCTGGGAGGCTGCAGCCCGTTGCGTGAGTGGTCTTTATGGCGATGGTGAGGAGAAGCAGGCTCGTTTTAATGCGTTATAGGTTAGGTTTAAGGCAGCTATGGAGGCTGACCTGTTTGATTTGCCAGCTACTCATCCGCGCGTTGCTAATTACCGAGTCCCTAACCATGCCGTGCTGGACTTCGAGGTGCCTTTATGCACCGATGTTACTACGACCATTGGGGTGGACACTTTTGCGGTTGTCTCCCCCGTACTCCACCGATTCATCGGAGTTTCCTTCCCATAGGTCTGTGGTCACTAGGTAGCTTTTGTTGTTATCTTTGGGGTGTATAGCCGCAAAAGATTGTGTTTTCTCCGTGCTTTCCTTATAACACTTTATCTATTTATTGCTGGGCCTTTCCAGCTTAACTTAAACTTTGTATATTCCTAACTATTTTGCTGAATGTTTCCTTGTCCTGGTGGACAAGGGTTCAGCTTTATGAATACATTAACTTTCCTGCTGAATGTTTACTCTTCCTTGATGTGTAGAGGTTCAGATTTATATTGTATTTACTTTATAATTTCCCTACTATTTCATCTATTACTTATCTCATAGTTTGTATGTTTGTTTGGATGAACTGCTTGGCCATGGTGTCGTAGGACCTAGACCTCGGCTCAACAACCCCTTTGTCATGCTCGATGAAGCCTCTTAGGTTGGGCCTCCCCGTTTTCCTAACTTTGATTTTTTACTTAGTTGCAGAGGGCCTTCTCATTTTCTCGCCCTTTGCTATACTTTAGCAGGAACTTTGATGAGTTTTACCCCTTCTATCTTGTTCATGCTGGATGCTTGTGCATTATGTACTCTACTTAGATTTTGTAGAGACTTGCTTGCATATTACTTAGTTTAGTTTGACGTGGCTTTATTAGGCATCATTCAACCTGTTCTGCTATGACTAATTCATGTCATTAAGCTTTTTGGCTGCTCGTTCTGTGTCATTCAGCTTATTTTGCTGTGACTTACTTATGTCGTTCATCTTGTTTTGCTACAACTTATTTGTGTCGTTCAGCTTATCTTGCTGCTACTTGTAGTTTTATGCCTCCTACTTATCTTTGTAAAGGCTTATCCTTTATCCATCTCCTCCTCTCCCCATCAAAGAGGTGAGCCGGGTGGGACTAAGAGAACCTTAGTGTTGTTTCTCAGCTCATCTTTTTACGTTTCGATAATCCTTCCCTGCCCACGTTGAACTTATTAGGCCTCCCCCTCATGTGTCCCCGAGGTGGTGCCCTATTTTACTTTGAGCAGGTAAGGTAAACTTCAAGGTAGGGCTTCTTTTTCTTTTTTTTTTTCTTTTTTTTTTTGCATAATGCTGTTTTGCTGCACCATGTTATGGTGATTTTTGCTTTTAACGAAAGTATGGCCTTTTCTGCATGTTAGTGTGTGATGCTAAAGCATAACATATTAAATCAAGTTTATGCAATATACTCCTCACATAGAGGCTCATATTTTATTGAATTGAAATGGCTTAAATGACTAGATTAACATGATATGGACTAAATAGGGTTCTTGTATAATTAAAGCAAAGTTTTCCAATTTCTACTCAGCTACTTGCTTTTTTAAACAAAGTATTTCTTTAACACATTAGCATTGAAACTATTCCTTAAGACCTAACCCACTTGATCTGGGAGGAGGAAAGCACTAGGTCCTACTTGTTCATGAATGATGAAGGAGCGGCCTTCCCAATTGGCTGACAGCTTTCCGTGCTGGTTCCCTCTCCCCACTGTTGTTGTTTTTTTTGAGGACCAGGTCTCCGGGTACCAGTTCTCGATGCTTGACTCTTTTTTTGAAAGTCTTAGAAATTTTGCTTTTTTAGCCAGCTTGAGAGCTGCTTTTAGCCTTGTTTCAGGCAGAATATACACTTTTCATTCCCTTGCTGCTCGTAGTGTTGTATCCTTAGGTTAGGGATTTGTACTTCCTTTAGGACAGCTCCATCTGCCTCGTAGGCCAGGGTGAAAGGGCTTTTTCGAGTAAACTCTTTCTTAGTGGTTCTGTTTCCCATAATACTAATGGGACCAGGTCAGCCTAGAGGCCTTTATTTTCCTCTAGCTTCCTTTGCAAGGCGGTTAGTCAGCTTGTTTTCCGTCTCTACCTGGCCATTGTTTTGCGGGTTCAAGACTAAGGCACTTGCATATTTGGTTCACAGTTCATCCAAGTAATCTTTGATGGTGTCGTAGTTGAATTGGCACCCATGATAAAAAACTATGCAATCTGGCACCTCTAACTTAGCTTCGATCCACTTGGTGAAATAGTCTACCGCCAATATGAGATACTTCCTGCCCAGTGACCTAGTGGTAAATGGTCCTAATATGTCCATTCCCCAATGAGCAAACGGGATCGGGCTGAGAATCCAGGTTAGATCGTTTGCTAGTTGATTTATGACTACCGATTACTTTTGGCATTTTTCGCATTTTTTTGACATATGCTAATGCATCCTATGTTAGAGTTGGATAATATGCTCCCCTTCCGAGCATTTCCACTCCAAAGGCCTTTCCACCGATGTGGTTGGCGCATATTCATGAGTGTGCTTCTTCCATGATCATGATCTTCACCGATGTAGTTTTGAGAAGCCTTTCTTGTTGAGCTCCCCGTTCATTACTACAAACCAGTTAGCGTCTTTCTTAACTTTATTGGCTTGCACATCGTCATCTGGCAGCAAGCCATGAATCTTATAAGTTAGTATGTTGGTGAACCATGCTCACTGCTATCCGACGCAGTTCTCTTGCTCACTTTCTACAATGCTACTCTCCTCCAAGACTTCAACCACGACTATCCATGTGAGGCTCCGTAGGGTAGAACTAGCTAGCTTTGATAATGCATCAGCTTTGAAATTTTCCGCTCAAGGAACCAGGTCTATCTGATAATGCATTGGTTGAGCCACTAGCTCTTTCACCTTGGTTGTGTATCTCAGCATCGGGGGATTTTTATCCACATACTCCCCATTCAGCTGACTAGCGAAAAACTGAGATTAATTCTGCAAGTGCACTTTTCTAGCTCTAGCTGCGATGCTCATTCGCAGGCCTGCAAAAGATGTCTTGTACTATGCCTCGTTGTTTGATGCCTAGAATTTGAACTTAATGGCGTACTCAAATACATTGCTCTCTTGCGATGTTATTATAATTCCTACTCGACTCCTTATTTGGCCTCAAGATCCATCCACTGCCACTTTTAATATTCCAATTTCATCCTCTTTCTCTTCGTAAGAGGCTTCTAGTGGGTGATTTG